CTTTTTCTTTTTTTTTTTTTTTTTTTTTTTTTTTTTTTTTGTTTTTTTTTTTTTTGGGTTTTTTTTTTTTGGTGGATAGAAAATCAGGGGTGGTGTGGCTGGAGCACTGCGGCAGGAGCTGGCTGGGAGCTTCTGCCATGGTGCCCCAGCTCCCATGCTGGAGCCTGCTAGGTGCCCGTGTGCCTTTCTGTCTTCGGCTTCTTCTGTCGCTTTTTGCCTTTATTTTTGGGTTCAGTTTTCTCTGCAACAGAAAAAGGAGGAGAAAAGGAGAGCTCACTTATTGGCCAGGCAATATGATCTGACCTGAGCCCCATCCATGGGATGCTGATCCCATATCCTCTCTCAGGCTGTTAGTGCTCGACCCAGTTTCTGATTTTGGGGATCCCAGAGCCCTCTCCCGGTCATGAAACAGCAGTGTGGGTCTGTGGGGGTCTGGGTGTGCTGATGGCATGGGCAGAGGGACACTGGAGTGTTGTCCCCACATCTCCCATGGCTGGGCTCTCAGTCCTGGTACCCCAAAATCCCTAGGAATGGGGTGGGGCAGCTCAACCCAAGCAGAAGCTGCCTGGAGAAACCCCAGCTTCTCTCTGAGCAAGGGCTGTGGGTGTTGGAGAGGGACAGTGGCTGCACCAACACCCCAAAGCATGGCACAGCTGTGCTCAGCTCTGCCATGACGTGGGAACCTGCCCACCACCGTGGGACCCAGACAGCCCCTGGGAGGATTTGGGCATGGTGGGAAGCAAGGTGGCTTTGGAGTGCATCCTTGCATAGATGCTAATTCTCTCTCCTTGTGGATGTCCTCCACCTGTGGATTGTCCCCATCCCCATGGCACAACCAGCTGGTGCTGGTGGAGCCTGGATGCATCCCAGGACAACCCACTGCCAGCTTTCCAGGGTCAGGCTGTTGGGACCCAAATATTTGCTCAGAGAAGCTGCCACACACTTCCAGCTGGCTGAAGTGTTGGTGCTGAGACGCCAAAGAAACAGGGATTCAGGATAAACCCTGCTGTGCCATGGGCTCCAGTGGGAGGGCGAGTCCATGCTACAGATCAGAATGGTTGCCCCAAAAAATGGGCAGCTTTGTCACTCCTTGCCCCCCTACGCCCACTCCAATCAGAGGCACATGGTGGGGGCTTGGTGGTGTGAGGGGCACAAGGGACCATGACTGTCCCTGGTGCTGCGTGTGCCAGCACTGTTGTCCCCAGTCCCTTCTGAGGGCTCCAGTTCTTGTCCTGCCTGGCTCTGAAACCCTGTTTCTGGGCTCTGATCTCCAGACAGTTGCCACCCACAAAGGAGAGGGCACGGCACGCACGCCAAGCGTCTGGAGAGCAGGACAGACACCCAAGGCAGATTTACAGCAGCACGAGGGGTTTGTGCCATGGCCAAGCGTGGCAGCTTTTCCCTTCCAGCCGCCTGGATGGCTCAGAAGTGGTGGCACAAATCTCTCATCACACAGTCGGGTTCGGCCGCCTGCCCTGGCTCGCCTGGGCTGGGGGTGTCTCAGATGCATCAAGTGAACTCCTCGTCCTCCTCCAGCATCTGGATCCCATAACCCAGCACTTGGCCAGGCGGGCAGGAGCCTGGGAGCGAGGGCAGACACACGCTCTGCCATGGAAGGGACTCTGAACAGCCTGACCAGGAGTGGGAGGCATGGAGGGGCTGCTCTCTCCTGAGGGGGCTGCTTGGGGGGCACTCATGGGATTCCTTCTGCTGGACAGGGAACAGACCTGTCTCTGAAGCTGATCCCGGATAGCAGCCTCAAGAGCAGAGTCCTGCCAGTCCCTGAGCCCATCACTGGAGCCCCAGGGCTTCCAGCTTGCAGGAGCACAGGCAGAGGCAGGAGGCCAAGCACTTTTCTGGGGTGTTTTCCCAGTAACTTCACAAGATGAGGTGCCCCTGGAACACTGGCACAGCAGTCCCTGCCAGTGGGACCCGCTGTGTGCCAGGCAGGGCAGGGCATGGGCACGGTGCTCCAGGACACAGTGCTCCCTGTGCACTAGTGTGGGAGCCTGTCCTCCCACACTAAATTTCTTGCATCAAACTGTCACCAGCTCTGCGGGTCTGGAGCTGGCACACACTAGCAGGGAGGGGAACATCCTCAAAATCGATGCCACCTGGCATCCCAAAGACGTGAGTTGGGACCTGGGTGGGGAAGGGAATCAGCTCCTCTGCACTGTCAGCAGGAAAATATTATTTATGATTGATGGAGCTGGGATGAAACCTCTCTCCTGCTCCGTGGCCCTCGCCCAGCACGCACGTCCTCTGCTGTTGCCCCCCTTCCTCATCCTTTTTCTCTCCACCCTCACAGTCCTGTCCTCTCTGATCCCTGCCACGCTGGCGGTGCCGGCCAGTTCATCCCACGGCAGAGTGATCCCGCAGCTCCGAACCGCAACCCTCGGTGGCTCAGATCTGCTGCCAGGCACTTCAGATCGGTATCTCATGCATCCCCCTTTCTGCCAGTTATTAAGTGGAGATTTATTAGGGTAGCTTCAGTCCAGATGCCTGCATCCAAAAATGACATCAGCCATGTCCTGGTTCCCATTGCCGGCCCTGCACCCGTGCACGCACCGCCCGGACAGACTCTGCAGCAGCTCTGGTGTGTGAAAGGTGGGGAGATCCCTGAGCCAGGGAGCCCCCAGGCTGGGAATGAGGTGGGGGGAAGTGTAGGAGCATGAGTGAACATCTGGCCAGATGAGCCATGGAGTGGGACTGTGCCCTGGGGTGTCTTCCAAAACTTTGGTCATCAGAAATCCCCTGGGTGATGCCTTCCTGCTCCACGAGCATTGCAGCTTTTGGGGAGCTCAGAAGTTTTTGCAGCAGGAACCTCCCCTGTGTGTCTCAACCCTCCTCACCCACAGCTGCAGTACAGAAAGCGTCCCTTCACGTCGAGGCAGGATGGGAGCTGGAGCTCGGCAGCCTCATCCCACCACGGCGGTTCGTGCCAGTGCCCAGCCCAGTCCAGCCCAGCATGGAAGGGGACACTGGCTAGTCCCAGGCAGTCTCCGGGACTGCCAGGTGGGAGTAGCCAGCCCTAGGGCTGCTCAGCACATGTGCCTGAGATGACGGCTTTACCCAGAATTTCAAAATGCTTGGGGGATGACAGCATGGCTCGCCCGCCGCTGCCAGACCCCCGCTGCCACCATCGTCCTGCAGCGCCCCTCGGGCTCGCTTTGGAGCTGTCCCCAGCCCCGGCGGCGCGGTGCTCACCTCCCGGGCAGTGCTTCTTCATGCGGCACCTCCTGGTCTCCAGCAGCGTGGGGCAGGCAGTCCCCTCGTCCCGGGCAGCCTCCGGCACCTCCCGCACCCGCGTCTCCACGCCCCACTTGCAGCCGCAGGTCCGGCTCTCGTGGGTACAGGCGCTCCACTCGCTCCACGGCCCCGGCTCGCACGTCTCTGCAGGGACAGGGACACAAAGGATCGGTGACCCCTCGGCGCCAGGCACGTCCCCGGGGGCGACGGGCACGGGGTGAGGGTGCTGCTTACCTTGGCACTCGCGGGTGCCGGGCTGTGCCGCAGTGCCGGGGGGACACTGCCGAAAACACTGGCCCTTGTACAAGTAAAACTTGTCCTTGCACTTCATGCAGAAGTCTCTGCTGAAGCAGCTCTCGCAGCTGGGCGACCTGCACTCTGCCGGGAGGGAAGGATCAGGGGACAGCCCGGGGCATCCCCGGCATCCACCGGGGACCCAAAACCTGCGGGCTCCAGGCTGAAGCTCTGGGCAAGGGGACGAAGCCCTCCCAGCCCGGCCGCAACCGGATCCAGTGCCACCAGGGATGCTGTGGGAAATGGAGCCATCGCCCTTCCCGCAGCACTGGGACCCGCAGGGCGGCGAGGGGAGCAGGGGGACCCCCGGACGTACTTGTGCATCTGTTGACCTCCAGACCCCGCACACCAAAGTAGCCTGGGGGACAAGTGTGGACGCACATCCCGTACTGGCGGATGCCGTCCCTCCAGATAAGCAGGAAGAGCCGGTGGTGGCAGGTGATGCAGCCGTTGTCCTCAGAGCACAGGACGCAGCCCGTGCAGTTTTCCAGCAGGCCAGCGCTCGCTGCGGGGACAAATGGAGGAGAGGGACTATGGCATAGGTGCCGAGGTGGGTCCTAGCCCCGTGGCAGTCCCTCTCTGACATACCAGGGTCACAGCACTGCCCTGTCACCCTGCAAATGCCATCCCGCCTCTCTCTGCTCCTCAATCCCCACCTCTGTCCATGCTGGCAGCAGAGGGACACATGGAGCCATCGCTCCCAGCTTGGTCACCACTGATGGCCTCCATCACTTCAAGATCCACACTGAGGGTTTGCCCCACGCCCAGCACTGCCCATGGGTGACAGTCTGAGCCACATTCCAAGCCAGCCTTGCCCATCCCATGGGAAGTGGAACAACCACTGGGTCAGTGGGTAGAAATATGATCTGGCCTGGATTAATCAGTTGATGCCTGTTAAGTATCAGAGGACAAAGGGCATTTTGGATGCACTCAAGAGGAGCTGAGAAAAGGATCTGTCTGCTCAAGAGCCTCTGCTGCCTCCCTGGGTGCCTGTGCTGTACTCCCAGCCTGTGGGAGGGTGAGTGACCCCGAGGTGGGTGACCTCTGTTCCCAGGGACAAGGACAGGGTGCCAACATCCACCAGCCCACAGAGACACCGCCAACTGCTCCTGCCCTCTGAGCCCACAGAAAAGCAGCTTGGAGGGATCCTCCAGGCACAGGGGCACTTTGGGAGCTGGGAAGCATCGAGCTCTGGGATTACACACACCCTGTGTCTTTTTGCAACCTCAGGCTGGGCATCATGAACGGGGCCGCTGAACTCCTGCATGCAGGAATCCAATGCCTTCACCGTACCCCTGTGTTGGGAACTGTTTGCTTGGCTCTGGCAACACAGCCTCAGTAGCAGTGACAGTGCCAGAAGCCCCAGTAAGGCATGCTTAGAACCTGGGCTCTACAGAACCATAGAATCACAGAATGGTTGGATACTTCAAGATCGTCTCAAACCCCCTGCCACGGGCAGAGACACCTTCCATAGACAAGGTTGCTACAAGGCCGAGCCACCTGCTGGGTGCTGCCCGGCACAGACATAGACTCAGCTCTGGCTGGCACTGGTCCTTCTGACCCCAGAAGCTGCATGAGAAGGGTCACACAGCTGTGGGGCTGGGGCAGAGGTGCTGGGGAAGCTGGGGGGATGCTGGCAGAGGATTCTGTCAGACAATGATGGTTGGTGATGCCCCGCAGCCCTGTGCGCTGGTCCCTGGCAGCCAGTCCATGGTGCTGTGGTGTCATGCAGTTGTCCCCAAGCTGGCACATCCCAGTCCCTTCTCTGGGGCACACTGTCTGGGACAGCAGCACTGCCAGGAGCCTTCATTAGAGCTGCGTCTGCTGGGAGCGCTAACGAAGCACCTTGGATCCATTAAGTTGTTATGGTCTCTGTTAGATATTTACCAAATGCTGACAACATTTGTGTTCCTGGCTGCAGCTGGAGTAGCTTCCCTGGAGACCCATGGATTTACGAGCCTCTTTCCCTTCCCTAATTCTTTTTGATATTTAGGGGTTTTTTTGCTGCTCTCCTTCCATCTCCAGCCAGGGTGAAGAAGGTGGGGAGCCCTGGATGGGCTCCGGGGCCTCCTTCCTCTCACTGGCTTTGGAAACAATCCCATGTTATGGAACTGGGAGAAGTGGGGTCATCCTCCTCCACTCCCCAGTGCTGCTGGCATGGAACACACGTCTCTGCCATGGGGAGCGACACTGGAAGCCACCACAGAGAGCAACAGAATGTGGCTCACTCTGACACTGTGGGCTTGGGGATTAGGGACGGGTGGTGGGCACATCTCCTCCTGTCCAGTGGTGATGGCAGAGTGCAGGGCTGAGCTGGGATGGGCACTGGGCATGGGGAACAGTGGGTTCCTGAGCTGTGCTGGACATGGGTGTGACATCCCCCATCTCTGCCCACCCTACACCCAGTCCTGCTGGGAACCATGAGTCCCTGGCCCAGACCAGAGCTCCCAGGAGGGAGGTTGTGGAATGCTGCAGCACCTTTCATGGCTCCTGGACTCTGTGCTGGCTTTTCTGTGCAGGTTATCCCAGACATATTATATCCCGTGTATATAACACATGTCTGGGGTGTGAAGCCATGGCCAGAACCCCAGGCTGCCAAGACCTGAGGCCTTTGGAGCATTGCGTTACCCAACATCCAGCACTTGTAGCTGGAGCCCCTCTTGGTGCTTGGCTGTTTCCCATCCGGGGTGTTTTGGCCACCAGCCTGGCCACCCACATCATCACACACCTACTGCCTCCGCATGCCTTTAACATGGAACAACTTCAAGGGAAACTCTGGGCTCCAGCCCTGAGAGCCATGGTCCTGGTCGGTCCTGCCCCTACCCTGGCACACGTTGGCCCCAAAACCAAGGCATTCCTGGCACAGAGCTGAGAACCAGCCCTGGACCCATTTTACACAGCCAGCTGGCACTGCCTGGCACTGCCCAGTGAAGGGACATGACCCAGTGCCCAATGGAGGGGACACGTGCCTCGGCACAGCCTCAGCACACCCTGCCCTTGTCCAGGCACCAAGCAGTGGCTCAGCTGGTGCCTCTTCCTGGGGAAAGGATGGGGCAGTGGACAGGCAGTGCCTACCGTGGCTCTGAGCATCCTTCCAGGACCTTTCACTCCTAAGGCACTTAGTGTCTTATGCAGAGAAAGGAAATACTGGAAAATCAGCCCATTTTGTGCTATCCCCACTGTGTCTGGCTCTGCTGGGGTTTGCAGAGCTGGTCCCAGTGCCAGCCAGTGTCCCTTGTTTCCTGCCAGCCCCAAAGGCAGGGCTGGCACTGGGCAGGCAGCGCTATGGGGCTGCGCTCTGCATCTTCCCACACTGCCAAGCCAGCCCCGTGCCACACACCCAGAGGGGAACGCAGATAGGGGTTGGGGTTGGGGGTATTCTGGGTCCCGACACCTCCAGCCCTGGCTCACAACTCCTCCCTGCTTGGTGCAGGCAGGACAGGCAGCCTGGTGTCCCAGAGCCACCCCGCAGGACCCGAGCGGGACAAGCCCTCTGCGCACACTGTACCTTGCTTCTTCCACCGGTTCTGCGTGAGCATTTCCATGGAGCTGATGAATAACAGCAACATGAATATTATCCACTGCATCTGGGCAGGAGTGATGTCGGACAGGGAAGAAATCAAATCATCCAAGCGGCTGGAAGGCTCGGCTCCTGCCAGAGCCGGTGAGGGGTGGTGGGAGGGCGACGAGCGGCTCCAGGCTCACACCATCCCAACCCGAGCTTCGGACACCCAGCCACGCTTCAGGGCAGCTTGAGCCGGCGACAGTGGGGCAGGCTGGGGCTGTCAGGCCCGGGGAGTGCTCATGGTGGCGGGGAAGTGCCCGGCTGCTCCAGGGAGCACTGCCTTTATAGTCAGTGTCAGCCCCCTCTCCTCACCCTCCCTTTCAAAATAATAATAATCCTAAAAAAAAAAAAATAAAAAAAATAAAAAATCCCCCAGCAGCAACAAAGCGACTGGCAAACGCCCTGGCTGGATCCCCCCGGAGCACTCCAGCCACCACCTCGGCTGGGAACCGTCCCGCCGTCCCGCCGCGGTCCGACTGTCCCGCTGCCATCCCAGCGCCGGGGTCACAGCGAAGCCCCCCGCAATTTTGGGGGGGTGGAGCCAGGAGGGTGACGCTGCCTGGGCCGGCCCCCCCCGCTCATCCCCCCCGGCTCAGCCCCCCGCTCCTGTACCCCGCAGGGCTGGGGGAGCCAGTGACAGCCCCCGGGCAGGGCTGAGCCCCCCGGGCAGGGCTGAGCCCCCCGGTCGCCGGGAGCCGTGGTGGGTCTCCGGCAGCTCCGGCGGCGGCTGTGGGTCTGCCCCGGCTGTCCTCAGTATTGCAGCTGACTCTGATTTTCCGAGCGCTTCTTAACTCACCTCCCTCCGAGCTGCGGGAGCGAAGCTGAGCCGAGACGAGCTGTGCCAAGCTCTTCCAAGCCAAGACGAGCTCACTGAGCTGTTCCGGGCTCCCATGCGGCTGTCCACACCCCTTGTGCCACGCTGTGCTCCCCAAAACCCACCCTAGGGGCTGTGCTTGAAGCGGGATGCGGGACAGGAGGGGAACACCTCACTCGCCGGGTACCCGAGGTGACCTATAGGTGCAGGTCCCCATCCTGGCTGCCCCATGTGCTCGTCCCGTCGTGCCAACCCTGTGCCGGCAGCCGTGCCCTGGAACAGCCTGGTGACGTCCCAGCCAGGGGTCCAAGGCCGCTGGCCACCAGTGACAGACCCCAGTGACAGCACATTCACTCCTGTCATCACCAGGTGCAAAGCAGCACATGGTGCCCCTCTCCTCCCCCCAGAGGGGGCACAGAGAGATTTTTCGGGCCACACAGGACCCCCCCCCCACAGCTCCCTGGGGCAGATCATCATCCATCCTCTCGTCCCACATGCCAGTGATCTGCAGGGCTCCTTTCCACCCGGGGTGCTCTGGGTCTGCATTATCTGGGAGGGACGAACAGGCTGGGGGCCACTGAGAACCAGCAAACTCATTGCTCCAGAGTGGACCACCCAGGGGGCTGCAGTGGATGTGTCCATCAGTGTCCTGGGGTGTCCAACCATGCCCAGGGACAGTACATTTGGGTTAATATTCTCTCTACCCCTCAAATTTCTCCCTCCTGTTTCCCTTCTCTGCCCCCAGCCCCCCTGAGCCTCTCTCCCCACTGCTTCCATCCAGCACTGCTGCATTTCATTCCTGAAGGGTTAATGATCAGACAACAAAGGAGCCATTTCAGACCCCTTTGGCCTCACTGTAGGAAACCAGGAGTAATAACTGAGGGAACCAGGAGTAATAATGGTTGGGATCACTTTAGGTTTTTTTTCTAATTATTAAATAAATTGAAAAATTACACATAAAATGCATAAATTGCAGCATCTGGCTCAGCCTAAATTTCCATAGACAACCCAACCTGCAGCATGGCATTACCATCAGGAGTTTGCAAAGGCTGGGGGGCCCATGTGGACATGGTGATGCTGCTGCCATCCCAACACAGGAAAATAGGGCTAAGGAAATGGTGTTGGGCATATCAGAATATCTCCAAGTCCTGGCTGCAGGCAGCTGCATTGGTGTGGATGCCAAAGGGCAAGGAGCTTCCAGAAGTCCTGTTGGGTGCCTGCCCAGCTGCCCTGGAGCCGGGAGGGAATTTCCTTGTCCAGACCTGGAAGGCAAACACTGGGCAAGGGCCAGGGAAGCACCTCATTCCCGGTCACGCTCTGGCTGCCGGCATGGGTGAGCGGATGTCGGCGCAAGCCTCGCCAGGGTGACCCGTCACAGGAAGAAGCGCTAATTAGACAACTCTCGTTAGTGCAGGATGCTGAGGGCACCACTGCTCAGCTCATCCCCAGCTGTTTGGGATCACGGGGGATTTGCCAAGGGTGGCACAGCCACTGTCCCCATGCCCCTGCTGCCATGTGCCAGGAATCCCTGAGAGAGCAGAGAAATCCACACGTTTCCCTTAATTTGTCTATTTATGACAAATCCAACTGTCGGTAGGAGCAGAGGCGGTGTCTGCTGTTTAACTGGGCACCTGGCAGCTCTCTCTTGTGCTGGGAGGGGTTTGGGGGGCTGTGGGGAGAGGGAAGCCCAGCCGACGATGCCAGGGCAGCAGTGACTCAGGGATGATGTCGGGGAGAAGTGAGGCTGGCGGCTCCCGGCTCCTCACGCAGCCCCGCTCCACGCCAGCACAGAGGGAATGAAATGTTCCTCCTCCGTCTTCCAAAGCAGAAAGGAGAAAGTGTCCAGAAAGATAATTTGGAAAGTTTGTTTGACACTTGAGCACACTTTCATCTTCGGAAAAATCTTGGTGACCTTCCAAAGCTGCACCGCCTGCTTCCCGGCACGGCTGGCGCCCCAGGGTACACGCCCGTGGCACCATCCCAATGGCTGCTTTTGGGATGCTCAGGGCTCTGGAGGGGACAGTGTGGTCCTGCCGGGCCCACAGGTCACCAGGGATGCAGTCACAGAGGTGGTGGCACAGGGATGCAGGTGCTGGGATGCAGGTGCAGGATTGCAGGTGCTGGGATGCTCCTAGCAAAGGTAGTAATGTGAAAATTAAATGTCTGGAGCTGGCTAGCAGCAAGAGGAGACAGGAAGGGGCAGGGGGATGGAGAGAGCCCCTGGATGAGGGCAGGGTGTCTCCACAGGTGCCATGAGCTCCCAGCAGCCACGAGGGCTGGGAGGGGTCTTCCCCAGTGCATCCCAGGCGATGAATGTGGGTTTGATCAGGGGAGGGTTTGAGCTGATGGTAGTGGATAAGGAAGAAAAATACTTGGCATTCCTCTCCCATCATAACAAGCCCAGATGCTTGGACGGTGGCAGCCCACTTCCCACAGGAATGGAAAGTCACAGCTGCTCTCGCGCCAGTTCAGCAGAGGCCCTTTCCCTGCTCTTATGAAATACCAGCTCCACCTCACACTGCACCGCAGCCCCCGCTGGCATCCCGTGACACGGCTCCCTCCGTCACCTGGGTCCCTGGCGGTGGCACTGCCCATGACCCTGCTCCAGGAGAGGCAGAGCTCGGAGCAGGGAAATATGCTGGGAAAGGCCAAGTAACACATTTACTGCTGGCGTGGCTGTGCTCCTTCCCACATGCCAACATGTTGGGAATACCTGGACTAGCACAGCCCTGCAAGGGAGGAGTTCTCTGGAGAGGCTGATGCTGTGGGAAGAAATTAATGGGAAGCAGCTCCTGTCTGGTCAAAGCTGGTGGGAGCAACTCCAGTCCTGGCAGCCCAACTGATCACCTCCCAGGCCAGCACAGAGACAGTGAGGTCCCTCAGTGCTGGGGTGCCATCAGCTCTTCCAGATGAGAAAGAAGGCGTGAAGGTGGCTGATTTTAGTGCTGACATTGCCAAGTTCAGCCTGCAGCACGCTCATGGCACATTTGCTCTCCCCTCCTCCTCTTCCTCCTTTTCCTTCTCCTTTTCCTTCTTCTCCTCGTCATGCCACACTCCAGCCATTCCTGGGTTTGTGCCACCCACCATTCCTGCTATTCTCAGGGAATGTGGCATCCCAAGAGGCTTAAGATTTGCCATAAATCAAATCCTTCATCCCAGAGCGAGCTCTGGAGCTCCATCTCTCTTCTTGGCTCCTCTGGCTTGCTCCAGTCCTGGACGCCAGCGTGGCTGCACAGCCTTCAAATGCTCCAGCTGCCAAAACAGGAGCAAAGCCCAAAGAGGGACTTGGCATCAAGTGGTGCTGAAGGCTGAGGGGCAGCAAGAGTAGGACAGGGAGCCGGGAGGAAAGGGAAGATGAGCAGTGAGATGGGAGGGAAGGCTTGGTGTCGAAACTGAATTCCTGGTCCATGTCAGCAGAGCAGATTTCCAGTGTTTATTTTATCTCTTTAGTTGAGCCCCTTTGAGGCAGAATATATTAAATGGCCTGACTTTATATAATGGAAATAATTGAAACAATACTCCTGCTTCCAGCCGCAACGTGCCGTGATTTCAGCCAAGAGTGGCCAGCCTCCTCGAGGTGGTGGGGACAGCCGCTGCCGCCGCTGGCGCTTGTTCACTGGTTATTGTTGACACATGTCAGCGTCGCCTTCCAATTTCCGTACAGCTGTCAGAGCGGGGAGAACACCCGGCGGCTGGCACGCGGTGGGCGCAGCACCGGCCAGCACCGACGGGCGCTGGGAAGAACGGCATCCCCACACTGGGCTCCTCCGCTCTGCGGGTGGTTATGGCTGAGCTGGGATGTCCCAAGGGGAGGTGGTGTTGGGGCCACGCTCTCAGGTAGCCGGAAGATGAGGATGGTGGAATGTGGAGAACCTCGGGAGGATGGAGGAGGCGCTTGCTCGCTGCATGAACCGTTGAACCGAGACCGCAGTATTCACTGGAGAAGGTGAAAGGAGGAGATGAACGTGAAGGCTGGGGGTTGTTGAAGGTTTTATCCAACTCTGCCCCAGCAGTGGGTGACATTGGGGCAGGGAAATGTCCCCAGCCCCAGTATCCCTGTGAGAAAACACTTGCACCAAGCACCATCCTTGAAGCCAATGTCAATCTCCATCCCACACGAGCCACTGAAACTCTGTCACTGAAAATCTGTCATCGCTCCTTGAGTGGAGCTGAACGGGTGAAACGAGTGAACACGGTGGCGAGGAATCACCAACACTGAGCCAGGCCATAAACCAATTCCCATTTGTGGGCACCACAGGGTTCCTGGGAAGAGCTGGCAGGAAGTGATAGTGAGAGCAACAGCAGGCAAAGTCTTTGAGGAACTGAGACACGGCGTGAAAAGTGCCCCAGAATCTCCTCCTACCATCGCAGCCACTTCCCCGGCTGTGCACAGTGGGGACTCAGGGAAGGGCTCTCCAAGG